TATGTTTGCTTGCGCGCGCCAGAGCCGCGCGGGCCCGAGCACCGAGCAATGACGCCGAAGAAGCCCCCCACACCCCGCTACAACGACCCGAAAATTGTGGCCGCGATCTTAGCACCACATGTGACGAAGGTTGGGACTGCTTGAACGCCCTCCCCCGCGATAGCACCAAGTTCTTAATGTTAGAGGTGGCTCGAGCCACATGAAAAATTAAGACCTTGGTGCTATCGCGGGGGGAGGGCGTTCAAGCAATCGCACAGTGCGCCTTCTTGGAGTACCCGCAGCGCGTCGATGCCGAAATCCAGCAGGATAAAATCGTCAAGAACAAGGCGCGGGGGAGGAAGAGGGAAGGAGGAAGGAAGGAAGGGGGAGGAGGAGGAGGAGGAGGAGGAGGAGGAGGAGGAGGAGGAGGAGGAGGAGTAGGACTCGAGGAGGAGGAGGAGGAGGAGGATCGAGGAGGAAATGAGGAGAGGGAGGAGGAGGAGGAGGCGAAGGATGTGGGGAGGAGGAGGAGGAGGAGGAGGAGGAGGAGGAGGAGGAGGGAAGGAGGAAGGAAGGAGGAGGAGCCGATAGGCCCTGCTGAAGAGCTTCGAGGTTCTCAGTAACAACTTCTGTTTCACGCCCGCCTGCATCCAGGAGGCCTTGAGGGAGGTCCACAGCTCGAAGGAGGACTAGCTCAAGCTATCCTCCCTCGAACTCGACGATTGGGTCACCACGATGGACAAGCGGCTGAGAGTTCTGTTCCAACACACTGCCCGTGAGAAACGGTGGGGATTACTTGATAAACGTCCTTCTCGTCGATCCTCCTCCTTCTCCTCGTCCTCCTCCTCCTCCCCCTCCTCCCTCCTCCTCCTCCTCCTCCTCCTCCTCGTCCTCGTCCTCGTCCTCGTCCTCGTCCTTCCTCCTCCTACTCCTCCTCTTCCTACTCCTCCTCCTCCTCGTCCTCCCTCGTCCTACCTCCTCCTCCTCCTCCTCCTCCTCCTCCTCCTCCTCATCCTCCGCCTCCCCCTCCTCCTAGCTGCCCAGGCGGGCGACGTGGGCGAAATGGTTCGACAACATGGGGCTCAAGCCGCTCAAGGAGGAGGAGCATGCCGACACTCAGCACGACAGCCAACAGAGCATTGCCCCTTCAACACGGTACTCGTACGGCTTCGACGTCGAGGTGAAAATGGCCTGGCGATTGGATGAGGACGCTTGCCGACAGGCCGACGTGGAGTTCGCCATCAAGATGCAGGAGCCCGACGACGCTTCAACAACAGATATGATGATGGCAGTGTTCGGAGACAAGTCGATCGCCAAGATACCCCAATGCTCAGTAGCCATGTGGAGGGCGATCAACAAGGACGGCAAGAACGGCAAGGACGGCAAGGACGACAAGGACGGCAAGGACGACAAGGACGGCAAGGACGACAAAGGCGCCAAGGACGACAAGGACGCCCAGGACGACAGCGACAAGCCCGTGGCCAAGAAACCAGCGGGCAAACTTCGAGACATGCAGCTTCCGACGTCCAAGTGGGAGGGCTACGACAACGAGGAGAACTACGTGACGGTGACGTGGCGCCGCAATGCACCAAAGGATAAACGAGTGGAGTACCTGTGCAGGATCATGATCGCGGGGAAGCAGCTGCTGCAGATCGACAAATTGCACGCCGAGGGCGTGGGCATGGACGAGGATGCGCTGTTCAAGTGGATGGTCAACGTGGCGAAGAAGCTCACGAATGGCCAGACCACGAAGGAGAAGGCCCTCAGCATGAAAGACGAGCTCGGCCTGATCACCTACAAGAAGCGGTCTTCAACGGACAGCGGCGACCAACCTGCAGATGATGACGACGACACCAGCGTCATCCTACGTCGGCCTGCTGCTGCTCTACGTCGGCCTGCTGCTGCTCTACGCCGACCTGTTGCAGGTGATGATGATGATAGTGATGGTGTGGCTCCTGGTGCTCCTGAGGCTGAACATCCACCTCGTGATCTTCCAGCGCCTGCCAAGGACGGGACTGGTCCTCCTCCTATCGTCCTCCTCCACCTCCTCCTCCCCTCTCCCTCCTCCTTCGTCCGTCCCTTCTCCCTCCTCCCCTCCCCCTCCTTAAAAGGAGGGAGAGGCGCCGTCTGTAGTGGCGCCGTCTACGCCTCCAGTGGCTACCACTTCGGTCCCGACCCCCAAGAAGAAGAAGTGCCGCACGATCCCGCCGCCGAGCTCGGATAGTAATTAAACTTGCTTTGTGTATCTACGCTGCTCGACGCTGTGGGTAGCTCTGCAAAAAAACATGTTTCGTCATAACCCCAAGTCGACACGATCCAAATGTCCCCCTCCTCTTTAAAACCCTTCTTCTCTAAAACCCTCTAATCACACCCTAGTTGTTCCAGAGCAATTCGTCTCGATCAGGGGATGTTTCCAGAGCCCGCGATGGCCCCTCCACGTACTCGTACGGCCGCCGTGGGCCATGGCGCTGAAGCTGAGACTCAGCCCGTCGACACCCTGCCCGACCCCGTCGACGCCCAGCCCAACGACGGTGATGTTGCTAAGGTTCGGAGCGGGGGCTGAACCAAACGATACAGAGAGAGGAGCTAAGGAGGGAAAGAAGAGAGGAGTAAAAGGAGGGGAAACACGATACTCTGTATCGTTTGGGTTCGGCTGGGGGGTAACGCTATACTCACTCCGTGGCCCCGAGAATGGGGGGGGGTGCCATAAAGGATTCGATCGCATCTAGCTTTAGTTCGAAAAAGGGCGAGGGTTTGGACGGCTGCGACATGATCAGCGTCAGCGACTCGCCGACGATCGAGCCCACCGACGGCCGCGAGCTGCCCGAGGACGAGGTTAATGAGCCAGACGGCGTCGACCCGCTTGGCTCAGTACCAGTCCTCGAGGCGGCCGCTGCAGCTGCTGTGGACCCGTTCGCCCGCGACCTCCTCGATGACAGCGACCCCCTGATCAACTACGCGAAGCGCACGCAGTTGGACGATGATGACGATGGTAGCCTCCCGAACGTGGACTTGGAGAAGGACCGCCACTTGGAGGGAGGAGGGAGGAGGGAGGAAGGATGAGGGAGGAGGGATGAGGGGGAAACAATGGAGGATGGAGAACGGACGAGGGAGGCTGGAGGGAGGAGGGAGGGAGGAGGGATAAGGGATGAGAGGAGGGAGGAAGATGAAGGGAGGGAGGAGGTGTTTTTCCAAAGTGTGTTGCCTGCATATCCTATAGTACATCTGCGACATGGTCCACGGCGCGATCGACGAGAAGCTGGAGTTCGCTGACGACGGAGCCATCGAGGTCGAGCGCGACACGGACATCAAAGACCACCCAGCCTACCCGCACGACGATCAGTTAGACGACATCGCGCAGAACGGGTTCCTCTTCCCAGCGCGCGGAGCCCTGGGAGAGAGGTTCAAGCGTTGGGCGAAGAGGAACTGGAGTTGGCAGAAATGGGAAAAATACGACGCGGCTTCCAACAAGAGCAAGGAGCGCATGAGGGCCGAGTGGGCCAAGGACGAATACAAGGAGCTGATAGAGACGCGGGAGCTGCTGCAGGAGACGGCGGAGGTGAACACGAAGCGCTACCGCATGCTCAACGTCGACGCGATGATCCAGGCTGAGGGCGGACGGTATCCAAGCGTGATCAAGGGAGTCATCAACATCTGTGCCAAGAACATAAATCGTGGACCACCTCACGTCAAGCGGAGTCGGCAGAGTGGCCGAATGCTGTTCAGGAACGAGGAGGAGTCGAGCGAGACCAACACAAAGAAGACCTGGCTGAAGAGGATGCATGAGACAAAGTGCGATGATGAAGAAGATGAGCCTCCTCAGAAGCGTCAGTACTTGGCCGAGATCACGCCCGTGGCAAGGGCTCCAGCACCACCGCCAGAGACGCCAGAGAAGCTCGACTCCCAGCCGAAGGGCATCGACAACATCGCCGAGGCCAGCATCGACAAGAACGAGCACCTCGAGGACTCGGACAACAAGGGCAAGGGCAAGGGCAACAAGGGCAAGCAGAACAAGGTCAAGCAGAACAAGGGCAAGGGCAACGACAAGCAGAACAAGGGCAAGGGCGCGGGCAAGCGCGCGCAGCAGAAGACCACCAAGAAGGGGAGCACGCAGAAGAGAGTCGAGACGATGCTCAGCCAGTACACCACGTCGATCAACAAAGCTGAGTCCCACGGGTGAGTTCAAGTGAGGAGAAGGAGAAGGATGAGGAGTATAGAGGGGAGAGGATGAGAATGATGATAAGGAGAAGGAGGAGGAGGAGGAGGAGGACGAGGAGGATCCAGGAGGAGGACGAGGAGGAAGAGGAGAAGGAGGAGCATGAGGAGGAGGGAGGAGGAGGAGGAGGAACCACACGAGGAGAGAGGAGGAGGAGGAGGAGGAGGAGGAGGGGCGGGAGGGGAGGAGGAGGAGGAGGAGGAGGAGGCGGAGGAGGAGGAGGAGGAGGAGGAGGCGGGATGAAGAGGATGGCCCACCCCCGTCGAGGGAATGCATTCGCCTACAGCCCGGGAGGAGAGGAGGGGAGGGGGAGGAGAAGGAGGAGGAGGAGGAGGAGGAGGGCAGGAGGAATGAGGATGAGGAGGAGAGGAGGAGAGGGGAGGAGGAGAGAGGAGGAGGGGAGAGGAAAACAGGAGGAGGAGGATCGAGGGAGGAATTGAAAGCGTTGAACCCTCATCCTCCTCCTCCCTCCTCCTCCTCCTCCTCCTCCTCCTCTCGTTCTCCTTTGCTCTTGCTCCGACTCCTACTCATCTTTCTCCTCCTCCTCCCCCTCCACCTCCTCCTCCTCCTCGATCCTGATCTTTCTCCTCCTCATCCTCCTACTGCTCCTCGTCCTCCTGCGTCTCCTCCTCCTTCCTCATCCTCCCTCGTCCCTCACCTCCTTCTTATTATTATCATCGTAGTATCCTCCTCCTCCTCCTACTCCTCCTGCTCCTCCTCCTCCTCTTTTTGTTGGTTGTTACACTTACCGCAGGTCGCTGATCAAAGCCATCAACAATAACGAGGACGGCTGGTCGTGGGCGAGCAACGAGCGCTTCATGGACCCACTGAAAATCAAGCTCAGCTTGGTGAAGGAGCTCCCCGACCACGACGTTGAGTTCAACACCCTCGTGACCGAGGGCATGGTGGACTTCAAGTCGGAGATGGGCTACGATGACGACCAGCTCGAGGGGAGCTTCCACCGCATGCTGGCCCACGAGGAGGTGATCACGAACTTGCTCACGTTCTGCAAGGAGCTCAAGAGCACGCACAGCTTCCTCCCCGCAAGCAGCTAGATCGGGATCCTGCTCGAGAATTTCTGCATCGTGGGGATGCTCGTGGATACGCAGTTCAGCTTGGTGGGGAAGTTGAGCATCTTCAACTTGGGGCTGATCGTCGCGCCGCGGCCGCGGCGAACGGGGAATGTGTATTCTGGTAGTAAAAAAAGAAAGCCACAACGTGTTGAGCCATATTTCTCCGGTGTGGGGAGACAATTTTATCAGATTTGGTCCGGATCGGGGCCAATTGAATGATATTTCTCTGGTTTAGGTGGCCGGTGGAATGGGCGTTGAGTTTGCGTTGAGTTTGCGTTGAGTTTCCGTTGAGTTCCGTTGAGCCGCGTTGAGTTGGCGTTGAGTTTGCGTTGAGTTTGCGTTGAGTTCCGTTGAGTTCCGTTGATCCGCGTTGAGTTGGCGTTGAGTTTGCGTTGAGTTTGCGTTGAATTTGCGTTGAGTTCCGTTGAGTTCCGTTGAGCCCGATAGCGTTGAGTTTGCGTTGAGTTTGCGTTGAGTTTCCGTTGAGTTTTGTTGATTTTTGAGAATCAGCCAAATCCTCCTCCTCCGCACTCCCTCCTCCCCTCTCCCTCAACCTTTTTACCTTCCGTCCCCTCCTCCCCCTCTCCCCCCGCTCCCTCCAGCCCAAATGCGGGCCCTCCTTCCTGGCTCCGTGCTCCACTCTCTTCCTCCCTTGTTCCTTTCCCATCCTGCGGGGAGGGGGTGGAGGAGCGAGTGGCTCTCACATTGCACAGAATGTTCCGTCTGAGCTAACATTCTGCTCAAGATCGAGATGAAGAGGCGAAAACACGACACCCCCCCAGTGCGAACCCATTCGTGGGAAACTCCCGATGTAGCGAGTGTGGCTTCCTGGGAGCGCGATGCCGATTCAAGTCTCAGATGGCGACAAGAACAATTTGGGAACATGCTCGAGAATGCCCTTGTCACCAACTACGCCAGAGGGAAACTCACTGCTAAAAGTTTGTGCGATATATGTTTCTTTGCTGTGCAATCGGGAGCAGTGGGTGACGGACTTCGCAAGCTGGCGCTGGACCCCCAACATAATCCAGGAAACTACCAAGCTCACCTAGACCGAGTTCTCCCCCAACATTCCGCGGTGGAGCTGTGCAAAGTGTGGGCGCCGATGGTCCAGAATGGTATCAGAAAGGACCGAACTGCCTAAACACATGTATGTAAATGCACATGTGTGTTTATTGTTACTACATGGGTGATTACACACGCAGATGCACACATATATATAATGTATACATGTATGTACATATCCAAATACAAGCGTGCACACACCATGTTTATGATTATACCCTCACCCACCCCATCATGAGCCGCACTTTCAGTGACGCTTCCAAGCAGGAGCTGCCTATATCATTGGCGCCACCACACGAACTTCTTGCAGCTGAAATCGGGGCGGATTCTGGTGATATCGAAAAAAATGCAGAGGAAACTACCTGGGCCAGAAATTTTGAAGAACACCCTCTTCGGATTATTGAGAACGACGACAGGCCCGTGTACCCCGTCGCACTGTACTGCGACGGGGTACGGTACACAAAAACGATTGGGGCTGGGCGACAAGATACACTTATAAACTTCACCGTTCATAACCTATGCTCTGGAAAACGCCACCTTATCGGAGTGATGGCAAAATCAAGATCCTGTAAATGCGGATGTCGATCCTGGTGCACCCATTGGCCAGCGATGAACTTTTTGAAATGGAGTTTCGAAGCAGCCTCTATTGGAAAACGCCCTTCAAACAACTGGATGGGAGACCCGTGGGCCCCTGATGACTACTACGGCCAAGATGGGCTTCATGAAACGCTCAACGCCCGTTTCCTGTTAGTCGAGCTGCGAGGCGATTGGGCTGAATTTACGACAACGTTCGGTTTCACGACATGGGCTGCGCATCATCGTCCCTGCATATTTTGCCTCTCCAATAAGCCATCATTATTTTCTAGCTTTCGCTACGCGCCGCATGATGGGGAACAAAACCAAGGGTAGAGGGGGGAAATCGACAAGGCCAGGTGAATATGGTTTCAGCGGGGACGTGCGCAACAAGCCTCTTGCTCCCATTCGGGGGTCGCGAATACGATTGTTCTCACGTCTCGGTCCTTGGACACGGGTGGGGCGACGGGGGGCCCGACGCCTATGACAAGGCGTGCCGCGAATGCGAGATCAAGATACGAGTCGGCAGCGAATTAACGAGACGACAATTCTGGACGACGGTGGCCTGGCTTTCGATTACGAGAAAACGCAAGGTATGACAATTCAGAAAAACGTGGTCGACATAGGTCTTCAGAAGGGGGACCGCCTAGAACCTTCGACAGCATTGCCCAACATAGCTAACGTGACACATGTGCGTCTGCCTGTAGTCCTAACTTTTTGGCGAGTGCATCGCGACATTAAGAAGAGAATGTTGGACCCCGTGCACAGAAGGAACCCAATATTCTGCATGGCAGGCGCTGCCCCTGAACGTCTTTTGCAAATAGATGTATTGCATACACTACACCTCGGAGTAATTCAGAGATATGTATCACATGTGCTTTGGTGTACGCTTGATGCGAACATTTGGAATATAACTGGCGATCGGAAGCAGATAATTAATTTAGGTGTACGTCGGATTCTGGCAGATTTGAAACTTTGGTACAGGACCAATTCAGTGCCATACAGCTATCAGGTTTCGAACTTGACGCCACATATGATGGGAAGCGATTGGCGCAGGGAACTGAAAACAAAAGCTGCGGAGACTGGGGTTATGTTGGGATGCGCGCTGAATTTATTGAAACGTTTTCAGCTCGACAAAGGAAGAGGATTGTTGATCGCAGGGGATGCTTTGCAAGATTATATGCACATGCTGAAAGTTTCCCCTCGAATTCCAGACAGGCATACGTGTGCACGGCTGTTGGATTTATGTGTGCGACATGTAGATGTAGCTATCATGACAGGAATAGAACCTACACCAAAACATAATTTATTTGTGCACATGACGCTACGGATACAATCCCAGATACTATGCGTGCTTCTTGGACGAGGGCCTCAACGCTACTATTGCAGCAATCGCAGCCGCTTCACATAAGAGGAGGTGGGAATATGGTGTATTCAAGAGGGTACGCCTACTACCTACAGTTGAGGCTAACTCGTGTTGGGCAACTGCTTAACTTTCAACGGGGTGGTCCTAGCTACGAGGACACCCTTCTCCTCGTTCCTCACTCTCCTCCTCGCCCTCCTCTTCCTTCTAGAAGCTCCTATCCTTATAATTCCTTCCTCTCCCCCCTCGCTCGAGGCTCGTATCTAGGACCACCCCCCATCAGCTGGAGATACTGCGGCTCGAGCAGAACATGACGCTCGCAACTGGGCTGCAGCGGGGGGGGGGGCGAACATATAATATGCATCCTCCTCCTCGTCCTCCTCCCTCCTCCTCCTCCTCCTCCTCCTCGGATCAGTCCCTCTCATTATCATTTGACCTATCATATCTCTCCTCCCATTCCTTCTCGCCCCCATCACCCTTCTCGGTGATGTGTCCTCCTCCTCCTCCTCCTCTTCCAGCCCCCCCCTGAGGTCGAATGCATATTAAGTTGAGCCCCCCCCCCTCAGATGCCGAGGGGGCCCGATTTCGATTCTGAAACCTACTTCTGTCGCCTGGATCGATGGTGGTTTACACTGGATGATGTGAAATGGGTCTCGTATGGCGAGTGGTGGCAGCTTTACAACGAGAAGTACAAGGGGTGCCCGCCTAGCAGCGACAACGACTCCGACGACGACATGGGCAGCAACAACGACGGCGACAAGGGCGTGGGCAGCAACAACGACGGCGACAAGGGCAACAAGGGCAGCAACAACGACGGCGACAAGGGCATGGTCGACAGCAACAACGACGGCGACAAGGGCGTGGGCAGCAACAACGACGGCGACAAGGGCAGGGGCAGCGACGGCGACAAGGACATGGGCCAGAACGACGGCGACAAGGGCATGTGTGGCAACGACGGCGACACGGGCATGGGCAGCGCCGACGACGCGACCGACGGCGACGCGATGAGGAGGAGGAGAAGGAGGAGGAGGAGGAGGAGGAGGAGGAGGAGGAAGAGGAGCTAGGAGGAGGAGGAGGAGCAGCAGCAGCAGCAGCAGGAGGAGGAGTAGGAGGAGGAGGAGGAGGATGAGAAGGAGGAGAAGGAGGAGGAGGAGGAGGAGGCGGGCCCTCGCGAGGCAGCACCGTGCGCGAGATGACGCTCGAGCAGGAGCTCGAGGCCATGATCGGCTGAGGATCCGTTTTCTCCTCGTCCTCCTCCTCCACCCTCCTCCTCCTCCTCCTCCTCCTCCCTCTCCTCCTCCTCCTCTTCCTCCTCCTCCTCCTCCTCCTCCTCCCTCGCCTCCTCCTCCTCCTCCTACTCCCCCCCTCCTCCTCCTCCTCCCCCTCTGCTATTTCCCCTCATCCTCCTGATCCTCGACGTCCTCCTCATCCTTCTCCTCCTCCTCCTCTTCCCTCATCCCCTCCTCTTGATCACCTCCTCCTCCTCCCCATCATCTTCCTCCTCCTCATCGTCCTAACCATCGTCATAATCAGCAGCATCATCATCAACATCATCATCATCATCACAACGACCATCCTCAACATATTCAGAATCAGTATCGTCAGCATGGTCCACCTCATCCTCCTCATCCTTGTCCTCTTCCCCCCCTCCACTCCTCGCCTGCTCCCCCTCGTCACTCCTCCTCACTCCTCCGCATGTGTCTTCTCCTCCTCCTCCTGCTCCTCCTCCTCCTCCTGATCCTCCTCCTCCTCCTCCTCCTCCTCTTCTTAACTCCTCCTCCTGATCCTCCTCCTCCTCCTCCTCCTCCTCCTCAAAGGAGATGATGCAGGCGGCGGACGAGCGCGTCCAGTTCACGCCGCCTCTTCCTCCGCCTGCTCCTCCTCCTCCTCCTCCTCCTCCTCCTCCTCCTGCTCCTCCTCCTCATCATCATCACCACCAGTATCACCATCAGCATCATCATCATCAGCATCATCATCATTATCA